CCAAGCTAAAAGCAATGAAATCGGTAACATAATATGGACAGGGGCATTCTCAACTGAGATCTGAAAATGTTACCATGTGCAATTTTATAAATTAGCCATTTCCAAAAAATCTTTTTCATTAAAGCACAATAAAAAGTTTTTCAGCCTCTCTTCTCTCTCTTTGGTCATTAACATCGGGCAGTTATTCGGAGTTTGGCTTTCATCAATGACAAGCTCTCCCCCCACCCTCCTCACCCGGTTTCTAAGACCCTCTAATACTGCTGAGTGGCCAGAAATTACAGATGCAAGGAAAGCTGACAAATGCCTGCCAGGCCCCTCCCCCATTGCCTCGATAGTCAAAGCCCCCGCCAGAACATGCCTGAGAGCAGCGCACCGAGAGACAAAGGCACAAAGATTCCATTTTCTCAGGGAAAATAGATTTCATGTGTAAAACACTAGTGAGAAAAAATTGAAAGCTGACACATATGTGCAATTTTAGAGAGGCAGGGCTGAGTATTTCAAGAAGATTGAAATTGCATTTGATTGCATCAAAGCCTAACAAATGTTGTTTAACCTAAAAGTCTTTTCAGTCTGTAAAAAGACATTCAGTGGCAAGATATTTTATTTTTTTTTTAAGCACATGGTTAAAAAGAAAAAAGAATCTTGAGCTCAGTGGAGAGATGTTGATTACATACTACTGTTGCATAAAGAATTAACACTGGCTCACATCACAGGGTCTACAAAATAAAGGGGGAAAGTTAAAAAAAAAACAAAACCAACCCTATTGAATCAAAGGGTTCAGAAAGATAATATTAAATCCTTATGAGTATGTTTCCTATAAAAAGAATCCCCTCCCAGCAGCCCCAGGGTATCATTACTGGAGAGGCAGTGAGTGGTTTATTAGAGATTCAAACCTTGGCATCTGAGCCTTGCCAAGCATGCAAGTTTTAGCTTGTGAGCTCAGGGCCCTTGGCTTGCACAGTCCCTTCTGGCATCTAACAGTGAGGGCCGTCTGGTTGGTCTCCACACGCCAGGCAGTGTGTGGGTGCAAAGGCTCAGACTAGGAGACAAAGGAAGATCATCATTTGCTATGGAAGGTCATGCCTCATGCTTTTCTTCCTACCTAAATTCATCTAAGCCAGCAAAACATTTAGGGATGATAGGAGAAATATGTGAAAAAAGAAGACATAACAAAATGAATCAGGGAATTAATCTATAACATATCTTCAAGTGATATAAATAAATATACAGAGAGAAAGAGGGAGAAAGAAAGAAGGAGAGAGAGAGAAAGACGGAGAGAGAAGGGAGAGAGAAAGTTAGAAATGTTGACTTAAAATGATCTTTTCATTGAAGGGGAGGAAGAAGCTTTTCCCCCCTGCCTTCTTAGATTTTTAACTTTGGTGGGTGGTTTTTTGGTTTGTTTTTTTGTTTTTTAATTTTTAATTTTAATTATTTATTTGACAGAGACAGACACAGTGAGAGAAGGAACACAAGCAGGGGAAGTGGGAGAGGGAGAAGCAGGCTTCCTGCTGAGCAAGGAGCATGATGCAGGGCTCCATCCCAGGGCCCTGGGATCATGACCTGAGCCGAGGGCAGATGTTGCACAACGGAGCCACCCAGTAACCCCATTTGGTGGGTGTTTGTGTTTCTTTAACTTCATATACCATGCAAAGCTAATTCAGTTGTACATGAAAAGAAACGGTGAGGTCACTTTTATTTATTTAAAAAAATTATTTAAGTATAATTAACATACAATACCCTGTTAGTTTCAGGTGTTTATCATAGTGGTTTGATATTTTTATGCATTATGAAATGATCCCCACAATAAGTTTAGTTACCATCTGCCACCACAGAAGATCATTACAATATTATTGACTATGTTCCTTATGCTGTACATCACATCCCCATGACTTATTTATTTTGTAACTGTAAATTTGTATCTCTTAATCCTAGTCACCTATTTTGCGAACCTCCTTTACCCTCCTTACTCTGCTAACCAACAGCTTATTTCCTGTATTAATGAGTCTGTTTCTGTTTTACTTTGTTTTTTTTAGATTCCACATGTAAGTGAAATCATACAATATTTGTCTTTCTCTGTCTGACTTATTTCACCTAGCATAATATCCTGAAGGTCCATCCATGTTGTCTCAAATGCAAGATTTCATTTGTTTTCATGGCCAAGTAATATTTCTTTGTAGATATATAGCCCATCTTTATCTGTTCATCTGTGGATGGGCACAGACTGCTTCCATATCTTGACTATTGTAAATAATGCTGCGATGAGCAAAGGGGTACATCTCTTCGAATTGGTGCTTTTATTTCCTTCAATACTTACCCAGGAAGGAATTGCTGGATCACATATAATTCTGTTTTCCGTTTTTTGAGGAATCTCCATTGGCTCCACCAATTGACATTCTCACTGGTATGGATTTCTTTTACTCCACTCCTCGTCAATACTTGCTATCTTTTTCTTCTTTATGATAGCCATTCTGACAGGTGTGAGATGATATCTCATTGTGGTTTTGATTTGCATTTCCCTGATAATTAGTGATGGTGAGCATTTTGAGCATTTTTTTTTTTAATGTGTCTGTTGTGCATCTGTATGTCTTCTTTGGAAAAATATCTATTCAGGTCCTCTGGCCCTTTTAAAATCAGGTTGTAGAGTTGTTGTTTTTTTTTTTTTAAATATTAAGTTGTATACATTCTTTACAATTTTGATATTAACCTTTTATCAGATGTATGTTTTTCTCCCATTCAGTAGGTTGCCTTTTTTTTTTATGTTTTCCTTAGATTTGCAAAAAAACATTTTAGTTTGATGTAATCTCATCTGTTTATTTTAGCCTTTGTTACCCTTTCCTGAGGAGACTGCCCCCTCTCAAATATTTCCAAAGAGCTCACTGACTATGTTTTCTTCTTTCTCAAATGGAGCCTGCTTACATTCCCTCCGAATCTTTCAATAGGATGCTGTTCTTGATAGATGGGTTCAATATTTGCAGAATATTTGGAACGGGCTTAATATATGTTGAAATGTGTTGGACCATTAACAGGTTAAACTGTAATTAATAGTAGCTGTCAGGGGTTAGAGTCCAAGAAAATGCACTGGGAATATTTTAATTTAAAAAAATTACAATAAAATTTTTAAAAATTGAGAACACATTCTGTACTGTGCCACTCCCTTTCAAGTTCCTGCAGTTCTTAAATTCCTTTAGTCAATAGGAATATCAGAGAGAGAGAAAGAAAAGAAACTAACAAAGTACTTCATAACCTTATAAGAGATGACTGAGAGGAAAAACGAGAATCTTAGGTAAATCCTATGACCGCTCAAATGTTTTACACAAACTCTATTTCCACAACGATATTCATGTCAGGAAACATTCTAGCTGTCCCTCCCAATCTAATCAAAATAGTATACAGCATTTTGAACAAGATAGTCATACCATTAATTAATAAAACTACTATTTCAATTAGGTTACTAAAAATAACCTAAATGTTCAAAGCCTTCATCTATTTGCTATCAAAAGGGAGTGTTCCACATACCTGAGTTGGGAGCATAATTACACGTATTTAGCCACTGTAAGTTTAGTGAGTCTCAGAGCCTGTTCCCTTAATATAATATGAGGAATTTTGTCAACCATAGGAAATTTGAGGGGAGGGGATTAATCCACAAAGGCAGTGTTGGCTCCCAAAATGCTAACATACATGTGTGCACAGTGGGAAGAGAGTGTAAAACTTCTGTTGTCTTTTAAAAGTTTAAAGTTTAGTATGAAGATCAACCCCATGTCATTAATGGAGAAAGGAAGTCTCCGGTGAATTCAGTAAAATAAATCAAGGAAAAGCTACGTAATCACCACACCACGGACCAGTTCATTGATGTATTTGTACACATTTTAGAATGTTTCTGTAACTTTGAATCTGATGCTCTGCGATCTCAAATTTCTTCAAGTATATGTGACGTATTGACATTAACTTTCTCTCCCGTTAGTCATGTGTCTGCTAAGCCAGTGTGCACAGAGTAGCAGAGTGAGCCCAAGTGAATCGGGGTCATGTCCCAAAGTCCACCCAGAAAATAAATTCCCTTAGGCCCCGCCCCTCACTGCCAAGTCCACTGCCTTGGCCTCGGAGGACTTTCCGTACACTTCCTAGTGTGCCAGCCAACAGGGTCGTTCATGCCTCTTCAGGCATACTTCCTCGGCAACCCCTAGGGCATCACCTCAGGTGCCGAAGCACAGAGAAGAAAATTATGAAAAGAAAGCTTATTGTTATATGGACGATATTGAGGAAAATACTGATAATCTTTTAAAATATATGTATCCTCGAAGAGAGAACATGTATGTCTGACCTAAGAAGATCAACAAACTTACACAGTCTAAAAAGTGTTTCTTCCAGTAATTTTTTAACCAAATACCAAGATTCCCTAATTAAGGGTAAAAAGGAAAATAATACTGTGCTTGTCTTCATTTAACCTAATTGAAAGGGAGAAAACCACATCGATTAGTCACATTCAGTATTTTCTTTTTTGAAAATTCAACTGCTGTCATAGACTAGGATAATGATACAGAGATAACGTTGTGTTATTTAGATAAATGAGTCTCTATAGAGAAATTAAGATGAAAAACAAAGCAAATATATTTAATATGTCTGGTAATAAAATCTATTTATCTATCAACTGTAGTAATGGTAGGTAGTATTTTAAAACCTTTTTAAACACGGGAAGTATGTCCAAAGGAAAATGAATCCTTATAACTAATTAACATTGCAAAGGTAGCCAAAGCTATCTGTTTTATCTTTTCAGGGGTTTCTGGTTGTTACTTGACAAGACATTTTATGGTGGGGAAACCCAGACAATGTTTTCTAGGGCCAAATTTGTAGCCTTAGAAAAGGAAAAAATTAGGACACGAGATGTGGCAGATCTCTACAGAGTGTTGGATTGGAAAACATCCCTATAAGAGGACAAAAATCAGTTGTAGCTAATTTGCTTAGCATGGCCTGAGTTTCATTTAATATCTTTTTGTTTCGTATAGGGATCTTGGCAAAATTTGCAACGAATCCATAAAGGAAACTGAAAGCAGTTTGATCTTCATCTTCAGTGACAGTCCCACAAAAGTTGAAGAAATATGTTATGTCTCCAAAGAAGAGTACAGTTGTGCCCTAAAATTAAAACATGATTAAGGTATGACATTTCTTTTAATTCAGTTGCAATGCTTTGTTCTTTCCATTACAGATAATTTCTTCCTTTTTTCCCTCAGTCTCTCTTTTCCTTTTCTTCCTCTCATTAGCAGATTGTCTTTTATAATTGATGTTGTTTACTGTCCTTTCATCAAATATATGCCACATCACTTAGGCGAGCCATCCGACAGGGCACCTAAATACACATTAGAAGGTACTGGGAGCCATGAGTCGCTTTGACTGCCTCATCAGGGAAGTTATAATAAGCATCTTGATGCCACTGAGTGCAATGCCGTATTCAAATAATAGCCTTCATCTTTACCCTCTTTAAATATAAAAGTAAACCTTGAAGTCTTTGAAGGACCTAACCAAACAACACACACATGAAAATAGACCAGTGAGCCTTTGGGGGAAAAAATCCTTATGTAAAATCTGTAAAGAATCTTAGCAGTTTTTCAAGAAAGACCTCTAGGTAAATGATGGCTGTGAAGGAGACACATGTCCATCTCAATGTTATGAGGATTATTATTGTGGGCCCTCTATGCCAGTTTTGCTCCCAGCAGGATTTTCTTTTCTCATCAAGTTTTCAGGGCTATCTACTGTTCTCTGTGTGTAAAGCGTATTTAGTGGTCCCACAAAGCTGCTCTAATTAAAAAAAAACAAAACACACACACACACACACACACACACACCAACAACAACAATAAAAAACAACCAAAAAACTTTGTCAAGTGGTCAGACAGACTGGAACTAGAGGATTATAGGTAAGAGGGATAAAATGAAGGGTTGGAAGCTATAATTTCTATTTCTGCGGTGGCAACCGCATCAGCTGTTGGAGTCAGGCAGTTTAAAGAATATGGCTACTTAAGCATAGAGTCTGGGAAGAAGACACTTCAAAATATAACAGTAAGTCAGGCCTCTAGTCGTAAAGATACACTAAATGACGGGCAGCCCTTGCTGGGTCCCTTTCCTGATTGTCCCAGCGTCCCTCTTTCTCACACGGATGTCTTCCACTTCCATTTGATTCCATCCTTGTCTTTGACAAAGCCATCTATTACTTTATATATATATATGTATTTAAACCTTATATTTTAACTCTAGTTGCTTGGCCTCTGACTACCATCACACGCTCTGTGCTCCTAGAAAACAGAAAACATGTTTTAAAAGGAGACATTGTGGGGCGCCTGGGTGGCTCAGTGGGTTAAAGCCTCTGCCTTTGGCTCAGGTCATGATCTCAGGGTCCTGGGTGGAGCCCTGCATCGGGGTCCTCTGTTCAGCGGGGAGCCTGCTTCCCTTCTCTGTCTCTCTGCCTGCCTCTCTGCCTACTTGTGATCTCTGTCTGTCAAATACATAAATAAAACCTTTAAAAAAATAAATAAAAATAAAAGGAGACACTGCATCTCAAAGGGCTTCTCATTTGGCCGAGAATAGTTCGTTCTTGAACAAGATCTGTCAATTTTCAGAAATAGCCCCTCCCTGGAAATGGTTTTAAAGAATGTGTGTGTACATATGGGTGTCAGGCAGTCAAATTTGTAGATGAAGCAATTTGAAGAATGAATTATTATAGTGACAGGATTGCTTATAAAATGATGAGAAATATAGATGTCTGTCTAGCCTACATAATATTCACTACAATCTTGGGAATTTCATTCCATAATTTGGCCTTATATTTTTATTGGAATTAACAGAATCAGAGGGTTGGTAGAAAGCACAGAAATTTTATAATACAGCTCTCGTATTGAAATGAAGAAAATGAAGCCCAGAAAATAGTCTGTTCCAAGTCATTCTGCTTGTCTATAAATGCTGTTGGTTTAATTTTAGTTTTGCATATATTTAGGCAAAGAAAATATTTTCCCAGAAACTGGTTACAAATGTTTGAGAAGAGATATAATCATTAAAATATGTATGTAGTAAAATATAACTATTATTCAATAGTGGATAATATATATTGAAGTTGCCTGGGGATTTAATTCATCTAGGAAAACTTACTTTCATTGTTAATATATCCTCTGATCTCTATATATGTATAATATGTAAAACAGCTCAAATATCTATATAAATGCACTTTATTTTTGTATACAAGTACAACCCACTTTTGACTTTTTTGTGTTATGATTATATGTTACTCAAAGTTCTGTAGTTTTAACCAGAACAAAAAGGATTGCCTAGAAGAAAAGAAGGTAAGTTATTTCATAAGTTGGGTTGGAAATTCAGAAATTCTTTTTACATTACCAACATTGTGTTCTTTAAAAAAATAAGACAAACTCTTATTTTTTCATTTATGAGTATTTCCATAAGAACTGACAGAAATGGGGATGGGGAGGAAATCCACAGTAGGTACACAGCTAGACCCTATTATTAGAGGCAATTGGGTGGCATCCTATAGGAAATATAGTTTGCTCTTGAAGATGGAATAGGCTTAACGTTAAAAAAAAAAAACAACTAAGATATTATACATACCAAAAAATATGTTTATAAAACAAAGCTTTTACATTTTTAATTATATCCCTAAGCTGGCTTTCTAGTTTTTCTAGGATATGAAGGCATTCAAAAAAAAAAAAAAAAAAAGAAAGAAATATTTACTCAGATTAGTGTTGGGAACATCACATCACATAGAAATATTTGTGGTGATGTTACTGGAAATGAGTATTTTTGTAAAGTAAACAAGTAGAATGGCTGAGCTTTAAAAAGCCTGCCACACTGCCTTAAGGTTAAAAATGCAAGTCTAGATATATCTAAGAAATTGTAATTTGTTTAACTTTTTAGTTCTAAGCATTTTCTGATGCAAATATTTAAAAGATGGCTATGTCTTCAGTTAAAAATGAACATTTTGATGAAGTAGTAATACTTAGGTTGTTTTCACTTTCCATAATTAAATGCTACTTGCTACTTATTCAGGGCATACGTTTCAGTCCCAAATCATTGAGGACACATCTAAGTAATATAATATTTTTTTTTAAATTAAACAACAATTTTGTGGCAGTTTTCAGGTTTGATTTCAATTTGTGTTTTAGGGACTTCAAATTTAGTTAAATAGCATCAAGATGTTAATTGTCTCTATGATCATTATAATTTAAATAACAATTTGTAAAATACAGAACATGATAATACAATAAATGCAGATTTATGGAAAAATTAAATTACTTCATCCAAAAAGTGGGGAAAATCAGGTCAAATGAGGATGAACATGATTATTTTTCCTGGTACTTTTATAGACTGATCTATGAAAGTTGGATTTGATATACCTTGTCTTAATGGTATATGAAGCAACCCATGCCTGACATCAGAGTTTTTAGGTGTGTGGTATGTATATTCTTAATAAAGATATCTATGATCCAACATTGCAGAGATAATTAGGCTTCATGTAGAACTACCTCTTCTAGAATCTTCTTCAGGGACAAGGAAATGCAGCTATGTATCACCTGCCCCTTCTACAGATAGTGCCAAAGGATCTAACTCAATGAAAATTCAAATCAAAATGCACAAAATACAGGATTCCCAACCTGCTGTTTGTATCACCAGATAAATTATATATGCACAACAATATTTGCCCATTGTTAATTTTTATGTTGCACAATTATACTGAATTTTGAGTGGCATCTTTAACAAAAGAAGCCTAGAAACATCCTTTGGTAACGAAGGAAAAAGTCATCACGTATGCTTGAGAAAACATTTTCAGAGTTATTGTGGGGATTGCTGGAAGACACATTGAAAGATGTTTATGGCTCGAGAATATATTTCACTTAAAAACTGGGCTGTGCTTTTGTATTTTATCAACTTCATAATCATAAAGGAAACTTAGAAGGAGAAGAAATGTAAGTGAAAATCTTGTTAGGAACAGTAATTATACAGTTAGCAAAGTGACTGCTTATTTTTTCAAGATGAAGTTCATTTTAAGGAAATAACATTTTTGGGAAAAGAAGTTGATTAACAAAACTGAGCATTCACACAAGGCTGTGTGCCACATAACTCAAAACGCCAGTGCAAAAACGTCAGCTGGTAGAAGGGGATTCAATGCTGGTCTATAATAATTAGGCATATTTAATCCACTGAGAAGAAGAGCTCTCTTCAAATCTTGAGCGCTAGTGTGGATATGGACATTTTGAATATGAGAAAAGGGAATTTGATTCATATTCCATAGTTATATGGCCATGGTGGAAGGCTCTGATTTCTCCAGTGGGTATCATGGAAATCACAATAACTATGACCAACTTGTGTTGACTAAATAGGACTTAATTTTTCTCTGGGCCAGAGTTCCTCAACAGAGGCACTATTGATATTTTGGACCAGATAATTCTTTGGCATAAGAGATTGTATATTGTAGCATTGTGCTTTGTAACACTTAGTCAGTATCCTTGGCCTCTACTCACCATATGTCAGTAGCATACCTCTCTCACCACATTGATATTATCAGACATTGCCTTTGGTTGAGAACCACATGTCTAGACATTTTTCATTTCTTCTCTTATCTCAATGGAAAATGAGTTATGTTGATTTTTGCATTATCTTTAATAGACATTTTCTATAAAGTACTTTTATGTACTAAGTGAAGAAATGGTTTACAATGTTAATGTCTCTGCAGGTTACAAAAAATAGGAATCTCAATGGTATATTCATTACTTGAAACATTAAATATTGGATTAAAAATACACAGATTATAAGGGATACTGAATGTGAACTCACACTTTGTGCCATACCTGAAAACTTGCAGTGCAAGTCAGGTAAATTAAAGCATGTTTGCCTGTGATTGGACATGAAAAATTTCTTCTTGTGTATTATAGTTAAATATAGCAATACATTTTCAGAGGTAACTTTCTGCAGCAGAGAACAAATTAAGACCCTACCAGATACTTTTTCATGGAGTCCTGATTATAGCAGGAGAGTGGCCCTCATTGCGCTTTCCATAAATGTTGGCTTTCTCCATCTACTAAAGCACAATTTCCCTGGAACGGCTCACCAGATACTGAAAACAAAAGCAAAACATCTGCAGAGAACTTGGGAAATCATCATCAAAATGGGCTGATAGCCATGTGTTTAAAATGTGGATTATCAACTATTTTTTTAACTAAGAACAATGAGATGGTAGAGAATTATTAACTTGATACATTTTGGGGACTTGAGGGGTTTTTCGGTGGAAATCAATTGATAGGAAAGGAAAAAAAAATAAGCTACGTGGAAGTCTAAGGAGCAAGCCATCAAAAGAGAAATATGCAGGAAATAAGGAATTCCAAGTTTTTAGAGCATAGGGGAAAAAATGTGTTGATAGTATTGATCCACTGGTCTTCTAAAAACCGTGAAAGTCATTAAGCCAATATGTCTTAGCTTGGTTTAGCTTTAACCAAAAAAAAAAAAAAAAGCTATATGAATAATTTCGATGTATTAAATAATGTTTTATTTAGCTTTTGTATACAATTATAAGTGTATCTGGCTTCCCCAGTGAGTACCTGGAAAACTGAGCCGATTTGCCTTTCCTTCTTGATGGCATTCATGTACTTTCTCCAAGCTTTATAAGATCGCCTACTTAAAGACCCTCTACTAATGATATGGAGGCGTTAAAATTTAAATACAACTAATATTTATTTTTTATTATATTTTTCAGACTTGAGATTTATAAAAAGTCTCTGGATCCATGAAAGATAAAATAACAGGTTTGCCTTTTACAGACCTTGAGTCCTACACTAAGAATAGATACAGGCTGAGTTCCTTTCTAGCATGAATTTGATTATCACTGAACATATAGCCATGAATCTATAATGCAAAGAGTTAGACATAACACTTGGAAGGCTTATAGCTCCAACTTGTAGTAATGAAATTGTAAGATAGAGTTATGCTTATAGCTTTTTCTTTCTTTAAAAGAGCTCAGAGTAACGGTACTTTTTTTTTTTAATCTGCAGTGAAGTCTTTCCCTGGTAACACATAAACAGAAAAGTGGCTATGAGGACTTATCATTGTTACTGAATTTTAAAAGTAATAAAGCATTTTTATAGAAGATACGTAGGAAATTGAAAATATAATTTCCTTTGCCAATGCATTATGTCACTATTTCTTGCAACTTAATTACTAAAGGATGATTTTAATAATCACACGTTTTCTAGGGCAAAATTTCCCAAGCTTTTGCATACCAGAATTACTCGGAAGACATGTTAAAATATAGATTGCTGGGTTTCAAGCCCAGCAATAGGCAGGGCCTGAGAACTGCATTTCTTGCAAGTGCTCAGGTAATCCAGGCCCAAAAAGGCCCATGGCTTTAGACACATACTTATTTCTGATGTAGCTTCTTACTGTGCTTAGTAAGTATTGAAAGTGGAAAGTAAGTAAGTATTGAAAATGGAAAGGCCCACTTAAATGTAAATTTGTTAAAGGAGTTGTATATATTTTAGTTTACTCATCAGTAGTAGACCAAATCAGCTTTGTCACTGAGAGGAATGACTTATGACAGTGGATGTTTTTAATAAAAGATTCTCCACACAGCATTGAAAGACAGGAAACCCTAAAAGAAAAAAGAAAACTGATAAAACTACACTCAAACAGGGCTTTAAATTAGCTAAAAACTTTTTTTTAAAATCCTGCCTGCTTACAAAGTAAAAGTACATTTTCTCACACTTAGCAAACACTTAGTTATCAATATTTTGTTCATATTTTTCCTTAGTCATCCTTTTTCCACTTGCCAGAAAAGAATTAATCATTCTCACCATTCAGTGTCCCCCCAACCACAGTATACAATTGTTCTTGCCCTTATATATTATACAGCTTAAAAATGTACAGTGCGACCCTACTAATTCAGTACTTTTATTTAAACTTTGGCAAGGTCCCATTAAATTTAAAATGTCATTACACTACAGGACATTAACTATACTGAATAAATTATTCAGGATTCAAAACAATCTTTTCAAAGGTATGCAGGCCTGTTACCTACAGTTGTACAGGCTGTGCACTGCACAACTTCTGGCGGCACCATTGATCTAGATGATGATGTGAATGGTACTCTCTGGAATTGTGTGATCAGGTGTTCTTAGTCAGAAACAATAGGCCATGTTTAATAAGACAGACATAAAGTTCTTGTTTTAACTCCAAAATTCTTGGAGAATTGCAGAAGAATTGCACATGTGATTGTGTCTGATTTAGTTGACTGCTGTTAGCTCAGAATGGGTCAATAATAATCTACACCTTCCCACAAAAACTGTGAAAAACTTAGTGTTTCAGTGAGTTGGGTTTCTGGTGTGAGGGAAATGAGAAGTCTCTTAGCTTCGTAGCTGGTAGAATGAATCCAGAGCTGACCACGTCTCAGATACTATTTTCAATCCTGCCTTGTTTGGAGGTAAACCAAGGTACCAACTGCGAATGTTCATTTACAAAGAGCACTAAACAGATGTTCCACACTCAGCATAATAACTGAGAACCTTAGAAAAGCAAGAAATTGTTGAATTTTTTTCGGTTAACCTCAATGACCTCTGAACAAATACATACCAGTTTTGCCAGTGAGGTGTGCCAAAATAGCACCTTGATTCTGGCTTTGGAATAAAAGTTTATGGAGTTTTTGATAACTTCTAGCCTTTGACAACACAGCAGGGGAAGCTGAGAAGGGAGTTATTTTTAGCTGAATACTGGAAAATCATCATCCAGTTTCCTCTGCTCAGTCACTAATAACCACAGACAGCCTTAAAAAGAGTTGTTGATTAATCTGTGTCCAAACATTTTATTTTTTTCTTAATGCCGTCATTCAGAAACACTTACAGTTAAACCTTGCCGTCTGGTTCTTCTTAGAAGACCAACTTCTGCTGATAATACCTATTAACACTTTATCGATGCTTTATAAAACCAGCAATAGAAGGCTTTGAGAGTGTCCACTTTTTGTTTCCCACCCATTTTAATCATCCTGGCCCATCCTCTTCCGCAGAAGCAAATGTACAAATGTGGAGACACTTCTGCATGAAGACCGAGTTCATAACGTGCACATCCAAAGCACTGACATTGATGCCGTATCCATGGTTTTCAAAGGGGAGGGTAATCTGTGATAACAAAATTGTATCCCTTCCTTCCTGCAATTACCTCACTATCCTCACAGCCTTGACATCTGGAAACCCACAGCTACAGTAGCAGCTGTGATTCCTGTTGTACAACAGGAAGTTGACTACACATTCCAAAGCGCCCTCATTGTTTTGATATTTTTCTGGCTGCTTAAGAAGCTTGGATATTGGAGAACACACTATTGTGTCCCAATCGCAGTTTGGAACCATACACCAAAGTGTATCTTGTCACAATCTGAACCACTTATACATATGGAAGCTTGTCTTTTTCTTCATGACAGATGACTGTTCATTGTGGTCATGGTCCGAAGTTAACCATGTTAGACATTGCACACTTTATTAGAGAATTAACTGATTTTGCTCATAATTGCACTCCTTTCCAGAGTTTATTTGGTGGTTGGTTTCACCTCCGCCATAATTTTCTCAAGTAATCAGCATGGAAGGAGGCTTTTCCAAAGACACGCTTCTATCTAAATACTTGGAAGAGAATTGATTATTTGAAGTTAGAAATTGATTCTCATAGTATTGTGAGAAGCACTATGCCTTACATTTGCTCACAGAGGGTCTCACTTAACAGAGATTTTCAGATCCTTATCAGTCTTCTAGAAATCAAGAGATCTCCAAAAGGAGTGCAGAATTATTAGTATTGGGCAAACACAATTGTGTTTTATCTTCACTAAATGCCTGAAACTGTTTTGTGTTTTTGAGCCAGTAAAATTATAATGTTGTTTATTCAGAATTCTTTTATTCCTTAGAAAGAATCAAAAGAAATAAGTATTGTGTTGTTTTACTGTTAATATATCTTTAAAGTGGCTACAAATAATAGATATCTTCATTATAAGAGCATTTGTGCTTTTTTTACTCATCAAATTAAGAATGAAATGGATTTTAGTAACACCCTACAATTGCCGTATTAATCAAAATTATTACCAGTGATCTCCTTGAAACTGAACTGGTTTGCTGTGGAACAGGCTGAGGATTGCTGTTCAGATTCAGAGCATAACTCTGCAAAAACATACTGACATAAGATTATTATTTAATTTCCAAATTTTACTAAGGTTTTCCTCTTTCCTATATTCCCCCCCAAATGTAACAATATCCCCCATTGTATATTTTTATTTGCCTTAATCTCCAATTTAATTTAATTTTTCCTTTTGCTCAATTACTTCTTCTGGAATTTTATACTCATAAGTGATGAAATCTCAATCTCTCTCTCTTTCATAATTAAATAGTTGATTTAAAATAATTCTTTATGTCCTCTATTCTAGTGACTATAATCTCTGGTATTGCCTTCTGGTTAGAAATATTTTTACACTGGCTTTATAATAAATTTCCTGTAATACTGATTCCGTGTCTGCTTAAGCATTTTGTCAGTTTTATCCAAATATTCCTGTGATAACAAGAAGTTATTGTGTCTTCTCCTAGTATTTTAATACTCCAGTGTATACTCAGTGTTTAAATAACCATAAAAGCAATATTTGTTTGCATAGTTATTGGCTTGTTTACCATCAGTGCTCCAGAAAATCTTGCTAGGCAATCTGCCTGGGGCTGATACTTATAACCATTAGCAATTACGGATTCCAGAAAGTTGTTGACGTGATTTTTTTTTTTTTTTAAATCTCAAAATCAGATACAAAATATACAGTGTATTCCTAGGGTAGTTTTTTGTTGCTATTCATGCTCTGGACTTTACTGGTTATCTTAACTGTAATTCACTTTTCCTCAAAGTGCACTGAGAAATAGGAAATTCCATATCAAACTTGGGTTCTTCCTAGACATTCATAGACAGATGCATTATTTTCAAAATTAGCAAAGCAGAATTATTTTTATATGATAGTGCTTTTACACATCATTTATGTTTTGCAGGGGTTTGGGTAATAGGCCAGTGATGTGCTTTTCATTGTCGAGGAATCCATCTACTACACAAAAGAGGCACGGATGCACCATCCAGCAGGTGGGGACTTCTGTCATCTGCCTTACGTATTGAGCTCTGGGGGAGATAAAGAAGAATGCATAGGACACTGCTCTCAGGGAGGTTACACTCTAGAGTCTGTACTAATAATATGCCACCAGTGGGCAACAACAAAAGCTAGGCAAAGACTTTTTAACAGTAGCCCCTCTATTCGTCCCCACACTGGGACCGGAAACAAAAGAAGCCTCCGTTGCTCCTGAATACAAACCACTCTCTGAAATAGTTAGAAGAACAGCATTAATGAAGAGTTCAGTTACAAGCTTTGGTTGTGATTTTGTTTGCTTATTGATAGGTGTTTTGTAGAAAAGCCTGATGCATTTAAATTGTCCTTTGAGCATGACCTGCACCAGAAATAGTGCTGAATAAGCTTTTTTCTTTTTCTCTCATTTTTTAAATGACTTAATTTTCTAAAAAAAAAACTGTCAGAAAGTTGACTTTTAGAATTTTCTTATGTCGTTATAGAACCAAATTATCAAGGAAAAAAAAATAAATACTATTTGTGCATATGACATTTCACTTTTAAACTATTTCCAACCTGACTTTAGTAGTTTATTATCAAAATTTTAGCAGATAGTAGGATTTGACAGAATAAAAATATGATTTTTGGCCTTTAAGTATACTACTTCAATCATCCCCAAAATTTCACCTTGAAAAGAAACTGGAAATAGTTCTTATGTGTGAGAACAGAGAAAAAAAAATGATATTTATATAATATTAGATTCAATCTTGGCAAAAATATTCTTAACTTGGGATCTGTTTTTTTAAAATTACCTCTCATTTTTTTAAAATTAAAAGAATCAAAATGTGAATACTTAAGACCTAAAGTTTAATGGATTCTGGAAACTATCACTGGCATCCTGTAGTCTAAAAATAATATTTGTTTTTTACATGAATTTATAATGAGCTATCAGGACTATGTGCAAATCACAATGAGTAATTCTTGCTGTCGGATTTTCCAAAGAACAAGACCTAATGAATCTACTATGAACATCTCCCAGATTATGTTCCCCTTAAAATGTAACATATATACGTAGAATTTAAAGCTAAAAAATTGTTAACTATCACAGGTTTTCAATAATTAAAAGACTTGCTCAGGAGAGAATTCACTGTGAATTCACTGATTTTGCAAATGATTTTATTACATAAATTTTATTACAAATTACTAGCTCGTGAGGTTTCTCACAGAGGTCAAACATGTTTATGGTTTGCTAATTCTTAAAAGAAAAATATGTCCTTATTCTTTAAGAAACGTGTATAAAAGAAGAGAAGAAAACAACAGTGTTCTTAATTCCTAAGATACAAATGCCAGTAAACACATCAAGACATTTGGAATTAGAATCTAGTCACTTTAAACCCAGATGTGTGTATTTTGAGCACATTTTTTTGAGCACTACATAGTCATAAAGTAACCTAAAATAACAACGAAAGAAAACTAAGCTCTGCTGATAAAATACACTTTACTTTTTATGTGGCGTTAACAAAATGACTTAGATGGAAAATGAAATCTGTCTTAGCTTAAGACAGAAGCACAAAGACATTTCCCTTCTGGACAACAGACTTTGGCATTGAAAGATCAAAGGAACAATTTTATCTGCATTGTGACTACAGACCAAAAAATTTTACAGTATTCCTGTCTCCATGCTAGAGCTTATGTGTCTTTAATGGCATTTAAATTATAGCCCTTCTGCAGTCAAGTAGTCAAAACACCACGTCATCTGATGAGACACCATATTATAATCTGTCAGTATGTCTCATTTAAAAATTCTCCTATACTGTACTTGCCCTCATTTTTCTCTTTTGCTGGAAAAATGGAGCAAATTGTTTTTTAAACTGGGTTTATGAGTTGACCTAATCAAGCTAGACAAAAGACATACTTTGGTTTATACTATTTTAACTTAATTAATTTAAACCAATTTGTAGATTTTTTCCCCCCTTTTTATTGTGATAACCCCTCTCCACATTTTTTTGCTTGTTTGTTTTTAGGGTTTTAATCTTTCTTAGATATGAAATGATACATGGTTTATTATAGACAAATATTAAGTGAAAATCAAGAATGTGTGTCCATTAAAGAATAATAGCTAAAATATTTTGTTCTTAAAGCAAAGTATTTTATGTTAAGCTAATATATAATAGAGGGATTATTATATATAAGTGGAAGGAGCTGTTCTCTGCATTTTTGTGTATCACACAAATATAGATGGTGTTTCAAATGTCAGAAACAAGTTTTGAATGTGTTCCTTTAAAGTAATGTTTACTGTAGTGATTTACCAATCAAAACTTTCTGAAAATGAGTATTTCAATTAGAATGGTCTTGCAGATGGGAAAATAAGATGTTACATTTTTTACAGAAACAGTTTTTTTCTCAAAAATATAAAAATTTTGGGATACCTAGGTGGCTCAGTCAATTAAGCAGCTGCCTTCAGCTCAGGTCATGATCCCAGGGTTCTGGGATCGAGCCCCACACTGAGCCCCTGCTCAGCAGAGAGCCTGCTTTTCCCTCTCCCTCTGCCTGCCTCTCTGCCAGCTTGTGTGTGCGCTCTCTCTTTCCCTCTGTCAAATAAATAAATAAAATCTTTAAAATATATCTATGCATATATATTTTTTAAGAACTTTATTAAAAAGATATCAGCAAGAATATGTAATCAATTATCTTATACCTTAATACTATCCAGTATTACCTATATTTATAAATGGTTACAACAGATATTTTAAAAAGCAAAATTTATTTTGTCTAAAAGCGTATTAGATTAGTAACTGACGGATAACTTTGTTTCCATGTTTCAAAAATATATCATGAGAATTTCATGAACTTTCAACTAGACTTACCTAAGTTTTTAAAATAATATTTTTTAGGGGCGCCTGGGTCACTCAGTGGGTTAAAGCCTCTGCCTTAGGCTCAGGTCATGATCCCAGGGTCCTGGGATCGAGCCCTGCATCAGGCTCTCTGCTCAGCAGGAAGCTTGCTTCCCCCTCTCTCTCTGCCTGCCTCTCTGACTACTTATAATCTCTGTCTGACAAATAAATAAATAAAAATCTTAAAAAAATTAAAATAAAATAAAATAATATTTTTAAATCAAATTAAGTTTGAGATACAAGATGCTTGTTGCAATAAGTGACTTTAATGTCACCATGGGAGGCTTTTTTTTTTTTTTTTTAAGATTTTATTTGCCAGAGAGAGAGAGTACACACAAGCAGGCAGAGAGGCAGGCAGCTAGAGAAGCAGGCTGCCTGACGAGCAAGGAGCCCGATGCAGGACTCGATCCCAGGATGCTGGGATCATGACCTGAGCCGAAGGCAGTGGCTTAACCAACTGAGCCACCCAGGCGTCCCTTTTTTTAATGAAAGTGACACTACCTTAGGTCAGCTTCAACCAAAAACATTTATATTAGATTATGTCCATCTGTTTTGGAAAGAGTCAACCATTACAAGTAAATTGATTCTTAATTTTCAAACAATTTTAAACAAATTTTATTCCTAATAATTTTGTGTAGAAAATCACAGTAGAGTATGCTGTACACTCCATATTGTGTAGGAATGATGGGAATCACCAGACATACAGTAGGTTTGAGAAGTCAGATCTTTTTCCCAATCTAGATGTGCCAGGGATTATTCAACATATTTTACTTACCTGAGGAATTGCAGAAGATATTTACTGAGCTTGGGACAATTTAATATATCACTTTTTCATGGAATCAGGATTGGATGTCTCCATACTTAGTTAATATTTGATAAGAAATCATGACAAATATTTAATTTTCAGAATTTGATGTAGGTAAGTGGGGTCCTATAGTGTAATATTTTGATTTAGGATATGTATTTTTTTCTTAGGTAACCAAAAAAAAAAAAAAAACAGTGATTTTTAGGGATGGAAGAATAGAGTAGAATAAAAAAATTCTCCATGTATGAAAAATAGTTGACTTTATATCCCCACTCTCTTCTATCCTAAAACCCAAGATATATCCTAGAATTATTTCTGGGAGTCTATTATTTGTTAAATACAAAAAATTATATGCAATGCAATGAATACTTATAAATCTACTCTCCAGTTTAAGAATTAGAACAGTAGAATTAGAATTAGAATTAAGAATTAGAACGTATGGGAAGTGTTGCTTCTCCCCTTTCTCCCTTCTTCCCCAGAAGTTATAGTTACCCAGTCCATTACATATGAAGTTGTGCAAAGTGTGTACTTTATAAATGCACAAGATTTGTACTTTCATATCCAGCTGGGCCTGATATGAATGATGTCCTTTGAAGTGTGCAGTGTAACTTACACAGATTTTCACAATGGCTTTGCCACTTTTGAGACTTATTTTGAGATTATCTTTTTATGTATGTATGATAGTTTTGCTTGTTTAGAGCTTTGAAAAAATGACAACATTTTCTAATAGCTTTACTAGCACTAGCTTTTTTCACTAAATATGTTGCTAAGGGTCATGGACATTGTTGCGTATAATTATATGTTTGTTTACTTCACCGCTATATAGTATTCAATTGTGCAAATACCCTCAATTTATTTTTCTATTCTCTTCTTTGACATTTGAGTTATTGTCTGCTTTATAGTTAAACATGCTGTTGCTATAAATATCCTTGCATATGTCCTTTGGTGCACATGGGAGAGAAATATTCTAATGGACTAGAATAGGAATTTTGGAGTCTAAAAGCTTATGGATGGAATAAGGGTGTATGTGAAAAGTGAAATTTTAAAGATCTGATGAGGGTATATAAAGAATATTATGATACTCAGTTACATAAGACTTTCCTTAAAGGACCCAATTGTAAATACTTGCAGCATTTGTATGAGTACTATTTGTGTACAGACCTCAGTTCCATTTATAGGGAGCTATTTGGGTGGTTCTATAAAATGCCTGCCTTGCTAAATCAATCAATCATTCTAGTCCAAACCCATTAGCTAGAAGAAGAAGCAAACCCAGAAGCCATTTTGGTTATCGTAACATAGATTAAATGAATTTATTTTAAACTCAGAAAATAGGGATTAAAATGAGATGATTCAGCCAAAGCAAAAATGATCAATTTTACTCCCCTTTCCACATCCCATTCAGATTATTTTTGGACATACTGAATACACACCAAAAACAAGATTGTGATTACGATTCTAAGGAGGCAGGAAAATGTACTGACAATTATTAGATAGGAAGATTTTTTTTATGATGTAATAGATATGTATAACCTAAAATTTAGACCATTTTTAGTGTACAGTTCAGTGGCATCAAATACATTAAAATCATTGTGCAGTCATCACCACCATTCATCTCTGGAACATTTTTTCTCTTCCTAAACCGAAACTCCATGTCCATTAAGCAATAACTCTGCATTCCATCCTCCCCTGCTCCAGTCCTGGCAATCACCGTTCTACCTTCTGTCTCTATGAATTTGACTACTCTAGGTACCCCAAGTGGAATCATATGGTGTTTGTCCTCTTGGGATTGGCTTATTTTACTTAGCATCTTCAAGGTTCATCAATGCTGTAACAAAACTTCCTCATCTTTTATGGGTGAATAATATTCCCTTGTATGTATATACCTCCTTTCATTAATTCTTTTGTCTATTGATGGACAGTGGGTTGCTTCAACCCTTTAGTTATTATCAACAGTGTTGCAATGAACAAGGGTGTACAAGTGTCTGTTTGAGTCGCGGCTTTCTCTTTTCTTTAGGTATGAAGATTTTTAAGAACTCCTATAAGTCAGTCTCCCAAGCAGGTACTACTACCCTAGGTGTCAAAAGAAAACCTAAAAATACTTTCTAAAGATTGATAGAAGGAGGAAGAATAGAGACAATATACTTTTCATACTTTTTCTTTTACAACGTTCCCCTCTTACTTGAATGCATTCTTTTCTTTCAGTGACTATAATTAGATTGATATAATATCCTAGTTATTATTCTCTAACTTAAATAATATGTAATTGCTTCAGAATTTTAACTTTAGACATAAAGTTTCAATTTAAAGAACACATTTGAGAAGTACAATTTTTCCTCACACTACTTCCGTTAATAATAGGTTACATTTACATGGAATATTAATCAGAAAAATACTTTCTTCTGCTTTATTAATATTTGCCAGCACTCACAATGGGATGATTACCAGACAGATGATAGAGAGATGGATAACTAGTCAGTCTGGCTCAACTTTCTTATACCCCTTTTACAGAAGGGGAAAATGAAATTTTTAAAGGTTAAGTATATAAGGCCCTTCAGTTAGAAAGTGGCAGAAGCCCAAATTCAAACTTGGTCTTCCTGGTACCAAAACCCATTTTAACCATTATAGATTCTTTCCTCCCTTAGCTATGATAATCTGCACCACAGCAGCATGAAGTTGACTGGGAAGTTGAGAGCTATTCATTTTGTCTTGAGGAATGGAGTTCTGAGAGATTAAATCATTTGTTTAAGATTTCTTAGCTGATAAGTGGTACATCAAAAACTTGGGTCTTCTGTTCCATTCTTTTTTTTTTTTAAGATGTTATTTATTTATTTGACAGACAGAGATCACAAGTAGGCAGAGAGGCAGGCAGAGAGAGGAGGAAGCAGGCTCCCTGCTGAGCAGAGAGTCTGATGCGGGGCTCAATCCCAGGGTTGGGATCATGACCTGAGCAGAAGGCAGAGGCTTTAACCTACTGAGCCACCCAGACACCCCCTTCTGTTCCATTCTTTATACTCCTCCTCCACCCCATAACCTATGCAGTCATGACTGCCATTGGTTTTTGTTGAAGTTAACACATTGTATGCCCAAAGTTAAAGTCTGAACTCTTAAGCATTCCATGCTCATGGACTAGAAGTACCGTAAATATATGTATTTTTTAAAAATATAGGCAAAGTATGCAACTTGCCCTATGCCATACTTCTCTTATCAACAGAATAAGCATCACATTTTAGATTGGTTGAGTTTAAAAATAGTTCTCCATCATCTGAACCTTAATCTCATTACTTTTAGGAAGAATTACTGTAAGAAATTTTCCTGAATATCAACTTAGAATGCATTTGTGCTTCTGTAGTATTAAAAATACTTTGAAGCTTTGATGCAGATCATACTAATCCCGAGCCGATGTGACAGGAATTGTGCAGGTACTCCAAAACTGGATCCTTCAAAGAGTTCCCACCTAAGCTTGTCTTGACAGCTAACGGTGGATCACTAGCACCATGCAGTATCTTCCAGTGTGCTAGTTTTTTAATCCATAGAAAAATTCAGTAATCACTGCTAGAACTATTTGTAACCTAGCTGTCTTTGAATTTTAGTAAATACAGATCATATTTGTGCATTAATATATGGGGAAGAGAGTATCTCCTAAAGGTACTCATTATTTTTTGGATTAATCCAGTTCCATGTCAAAGAACTGAACTATAGTTTCCACACAACTCAAATGCATATGAATAAGTATAAATATCATGAATTTACCTTTTTTTTTAATATAGCCTAAAAAAATGCACCCTCAAGTCACTTCATCGAAATATCTTTGTCCCCCCCTTTTTTAAAGATTTTATTTATTTATTTGACAAACAGAGATCACAAGTAGGCAGAGAGGCAGGCAGAGAGAGGAGGAAGCAAACTCCCCGCTGAGCAGAGAGCCCAATGTGGGGCTTGATCCCAGGAACCTGAGATCAACCTGAGCAGAAGGCAGAGGCTCTAACCCACTGAGCCACCCAGACACCCCTATCTTTGCCCCTTTTATTGTAATGTCTTTTCAAAAAGAAGAGGGAGAAATGCATTATAAATGTTAAAATACGGAACTATGTGAATGAAGTGCTTTTTCAAAATACAGATGGAACCCCTCTTAGGTTTCTATTAAGAAAACATATTACATCCTCTTATTACGAGTGTGTTTGTTCTCCCCTCTCCCACTACTGGCCTTCATTTCCACCTAGAGATATCTGTATGCCAATCCCAGTAGGAATGCCTATGCTCTGATAAGTCACAGCTCACATGGCCCCTTTCTCCTGGAGAATGAATTATCAGGTAATCTCTACTTTTATCCAATTGATTTTACTTCCTCCACATTTCAATTTCATTAGCATAAAACGGAACAGTGCTTAATGATTACTTAAAACTAAAGGAAAGGAAAACAAAATTTGTTGGTAAAATATGGTTGGTAATAATATTAGAATAGTTTCAGATGCAAGCAAATATTCTTCAAATATTTTTCTCTAGAGAAAGCTAGATACATACCTATGTTTATACTTTTATTATAGACACTACTTTAAAAATGCAAACATTCTGAAATATTTGTATAACACAATTTCATTTCCAAAGGAGAATGGTTATTTGTCCTCATTTTCCCCCATTAAAGTGAATAAACTTTGTTTTTCTTATGATAGATTAGCTAACTGAAGAGACTTTTTTCACCCCACACAAAGTATAAACAATTGTTTCCCAGACATCAACTTTGGAAAAAGCCAGCCATTGGTAGCTGATGTAGTCATGGATGTTTGGAAGAGCTGTGTTCTGATTCTCAGAAGATACCTTACCAGAGTCCATTTGTTTTCAAGTTTGTGGAGTGGCCCTTCTGCAATGATACTTTTCCTGTCACTTCCAAATATTCCTGTACTAAGGTACACAAAGTGAGACCCAGAATGTTTTTTTAAGACTCTGGATTGTTTGAAGGCAAGACATACTCTAAAATAATACATGGGGATAGATGAGTAAAAGAAGGTATTAACTAAAATAAAATAAAATAAAATAAAATAAAATATGGACGTATTCAATAAGGCAAAGAAAGAGAAATAATATGGAGAAATATGGGGGGGTCTGTGGTTGTCTCTGCTTCAGAAATATGAGGGCTCTATTGGGAAGGGGAAAATAAAGTTTGAGATTGTCTATTAATTCACTTCTAAAAAACTCACTACTTAAAGCAAGGATATTATTTTTTAAAATATATATACATGTATGTTACTAAAATATAGATATATGTGATACACACACACATCAAAACCATCAGCGCAACAATTTCTTTGTTTCTTAGAAACAACCACTATGATACACATGAATTTTATTTTTTGAATGCAGTGTACTGGTAAGCACTGTAGCAATTTCTAGAATTTGGTCACTCTTCTTTATGGTGGTAATTTGATTTGAATGTGTTAACTTGAATATTTAGACTTTAAAGTGGCTGGAATTTTCTAATATGATTAACATCCAGAGTATCTACTTTTCTTTTTTTTTTTTGCATATGTGTTTTATATACATATACATATATATATATTTTTTTTCCTTTTGACTTTTCTGTTCAAAAATGGATTTCTACTAAATTTTTTTAGGTGCATTTGACAAGCTATTGCTGAAAAATATTTATTACTTTTTTATTGGCCTATACTGTAGATGTACAAATGTGCTACTGGCCATGTGAATTATATACAACTCTAGGAGACAAACACAATCTCCAGTTACAAATGAAGGGCACACATGGGTGATCCAACATGTGAGTCATCAAGAAATTCAATACTGTGCAAAGACTGGTGAATCACACAGTCTGTAAAGGCAGCTTTTTGAGCTTTTCACACAGATGACTACTGCAAAGCATAACAAAGAATAAGGAAGAGGAGGTGGTAGGGGAAAGGAAAGGAGGGAAAAATAAGTGGTGGTTGGGGGGCTCTCTATAATCTGTTTTTATTATTCCTTACTTTCTTGACCAGTGAACCAACAACAGAAAGGAAACTTGCAGCTCTTTTCTACAATGACCATTCTCACGTACCGAGTGCCAGCTGAAAATTCTAAAATTGATTATAATCGATTTAGAATTGTCCTTTAAGTCTTAACACCCTATGCCCTGTAAAGTGACTTGAGGAGTAAGTTTCTACGTCGTTTATTTAATAATGTTGTCTTCCACTCCGTGGAAGCTTCATGGGAGCACAGAGCACAGGCCTCACAGTTGATGACGACCTAGTGCAAGAAAGAAAGAAGGGAGAAAGGAAGGTCTTCCAATGTTATTTTAACACCTGTGAAATGTATTCACTTTTTAAAGCTCTGTCTCTTCCCTGTCCTCTTCATCTTGAAACAATTCATGTCAAAGAAAGCATCTTAGCACAAAAAAAAACATTAATTCTTGCTCTAGCCCACAATGTAGATGTACCGCTACCTATATGAAAAGTCAACAACAACCCTGGTGATTCTGTGTGGGAGCTGTTTATACATTCAATGACCCATCGAATAGTATCCAGACTCCTCACCACAGTGCTGAAAACTCTTCACAGTCTCACCTCAGAAACTAAGCATCTTCCAACATCCTCTTTGCCTCTTTCCTCACCCCATGTTCCAGCCATATTGGTCTGATAGTTGTATATTATTTCTCTGACACATAAATTGTTATGCCCCGTTGCCTTCACTTTAAAGCTCTTTCCCCTCAGATTGCCTCTGTATGTCCATTTTTCCTCACAGAAGATTTCTACTCATCTCGTAGTAGACAAGAATTGCTCAAAACTTTCCAGAATATTTTCATGGACTTTGTATTTAGAGGAAAGAGAACATTAAAACAGAAAAGGATTTAGGGATTGTCTAGCCCAAACTTTCCATTTTGCATCTGAGGAAACGGAGACAGAGAGAATACTGCCCAAAGTCACACATGAATCAATGATAAGGCCAAGGCTAACGACCCATCCTTTGCTGTTCTCTTCAGTGGTGATCACGTCTGCCTTCAATTCAGACAATTCTGGAATTAACCTTGGGAAATGTGTTAACATTTCTGAGTCTAAACCTAAAACTGGACATAAAAATAGGTAATCTAGAATAGTCTCTTTCTTTCCTTCCTTCTTTTCATAGTCTTTTGTGATTCCCAGTTCAGCCATTTAATCTACATACCATGTAGACTCCCTTACTTTCAGAAAGAACTGGGATATAGTAGCAGAAGGTAAGAGTTAGCACATAGACTACGGGGTTAGAATTTTTTGGTTCAAATCTTAATCTACCTGTGTGCTTTGGGCAGGGCACTAACTGCTTTGCCTCAGTTTTATCATTGGTAAACTGAGGATAATTAATTTATTAAATTCATTCACACATGCTTAGTCAGAACTTCCTGTTCTAGGCTTTGAGGATTTGGCAGTGAACCACACAGACAGAAGCTCTAATGGAAGTTCCATTCTAGAGGAGAGATAATCAACTGATAAACTATACCTCCCCTCCCCTTCCTCCAACCCCACAGGAAGTGTTCTTTCTTTTGCCCAGAAGTTTCCTTCCTGCAGCTGTCTAAAAGGCTAGCTTCCTCCCAGCGCTCAGGTTCTTATAACCACCTTCACTGGGCACCTACTTTAAATTTCAGTCCCACCCTTGTCACAGTTCAATTCCCTTTTCTGCTCTGTTTCTAAAAATAGTGATTCCTTATTACTATCTAACACACCATATGTTTTTATTAATTTGTCTAGTTTGTGTTGCATCTTCCTTACTCAAATGTAAACCCCATGAAGGCAGGGATGTTTGTCTGTTTTGTTTTCTGCTGTATCCAAAGAATCTAGGCCCACTTTATAGGCCTGGTATCTATCAGGTACTCATTTTCTATTTACTAAGTGACTACATTAATATCTAGTGTAATGTCCTATGGTGATATTTGCAATTAAGCAAAATAAAATTATATAAAATTAAATTAAACAAAATAAAACAGAATTGTGTAGAGAGAAAGATCTGACACTGTTAGATTGAAGTGGTGAGGGAAGGCCTTACTAAGAAGGTGACCTTTGACTAGAAACATGAATGCAGAGAGAAAAATAAGCTGTGGGAATAACTGATGGTTGAATGTTCTAGATAGCAGGGACAGCCTGTGCAAAGGTCCTGAGGCTAATTCATATTTTACATGCTCTATCAATGGCAAGGAGACACAAGTACACTAGAGCAGAGTGTGTGAGAAGAGGGGTAAGAGAAAAAGTGAGAGAATCCATTCAGACCATTCGTGTAAACCATGTGAGGACTGTGGATTTGGTAATAAGAGAGCCAACCAAACTGAGGTGTAGAGAGATGTTGAGAGAGTTGAAGCCGAATATCTGACATGTACACATATTCAAGGTTAGTTACTGTATACCAGGGATTGAATCACAGTTATAAGTTACAAATGAAGGCAATGAAAAGAACAAATCAATGAACACTGAATTTCCTTCCCAATCTCTACCCCTTATGACAACGACATCAAAATGCACAGAAGGCAACTTAGGATAGAAAGGGACATGTGGAAAGTTTTACTGAAAAAAAAAATATATATATATATACAAAGACTGGAGATGTATATATATATATATATAGTTTTATTTTTTAAAAGGCATATCACATGTAACAGTGACACTCAGAACCTGAAGCATTTTAGTCATAGTCTGTTATGGATTTTTCTGCACTTATTTTTATTCTTATAATATGCAGCTGCCTTTTATCAAATAATCAGTTAACAAAATGACAATAGTTTCCTGTCACGGATTTGTTTATTCCAAACTACTGTTTGATCTCACAGACACACCAAAACATTACCAGCCAGACCATTTAACCTCTTTAAAATATCCCCCCTTGGATGGAATGAGTTTTACTCTTGATAACGTCAGTCCAAATTCTGCACATGTTTATATTCATCCTAAAGCAAGAAAGTACATGGTAACATTAAAGCTTGTGCTTTACTCTATACCTTATTGATCAAGATTTTGTATTAGTTATTTTCTACCTTCAGCACAGTTTCTGGAATTTTCAATAAAATATGACGACGTTTCTGAAGAGAAAAATTTCAAGTCACCTAGTAATTAATTCATTGTCAAAGTGGCAATAGATTCAGTATAACACCGAGGCATTTTCTTTCAACCTTATCAGAGAAAAGAGGGAACTGCTTTCTTAAAAGACACAAAATAGGAGTCTTTGAGGGTTTTTAAAATTAAGGGCCATGCTTATTCTTTATTATTTAGTCCAATTCTTGTGTAATAGTGAGCATCTAATCCATTTAGCAGATTTTATTTGTCAAGCTAAAAAAGCATATGCTATATTTAGTTCCAGCAAGGGTTGTAGAAATCAGTTGAAAAAATTCACATTAGAGTTGGTAGAACACGTAGGCTTTTAATTATTTTACTTGTCCAAAGGGCACACCAATTGGGCAGACTGCCTACTATACATTATGAATTAATTCCATTTGTCCTGAAAACTTGTTCATTATTTCAGTACTTTGAATTTTGGCTGCCCTAATTAATCTCTGTTTTATAATTCAGGTACTTGAACCTCTGCAAAGGCTGCATTTTTCCAGCCTGTAATCACACTCTCAACAGACAGCCGAGCGCTGGGGACAATGGCTCCTTCACCTTCTCAGCTATACCTCGGCTTCCGTAAAGACAGACCTTCTGTCTCTGATTTACGTGCTGAGTCCTCCTTGAGGAGAAATGCCTGAGTGGGGAAATGCACAGCCCTGAGGCAGATTACTTGCCTCAGTCTTTGGTCCTGTCACCCGAAGGCTGTCCCTTGAGCACTGATAGAGAGCCAAGAGGCACCTTGGTATGTTCCCTGGGAGATACGAACCCACCCCACCGTCAGCCTTTGCAGGTTACATCTGCTTTCTTTTCAATCCATGCACTGTGAAGGCTGTTGTACTCAGGGGTCTTGATGCTGCCCTTTCTTGCCATGGCACAGGGGCCTGGAGCTAAGGGACACTGGTAGGCGCACCCTGCCTACTCAGGCCTTGGCAGTGTAAAGGATCACCATCTTGCCCTGCACTCTCAGAGTTCTCTTGCTACATGACTGCTCTTTTTGAATGAATGGAAAACTATTTTTAACTTCAGTTATTGTTCATTGAGAATGAAAAAAAAAAAATGTTTCATCTGACCTTTTCTGAGTATTTTCCTTTTACTTCACATAATGATGCAGAGAAAGTCCTTACAATGAATTCTGTGTTCAGACAAACAAACAAACAAACCCCAATTTACTTGTCACCTAGTTCTTCATTTATTTCTGGAAAATCTACTCCCTAAATCTTATCAAGGAATCATAGAGGAAAGCTAGCACATTGTTTTGCTTATTGATTCTTCTGGTAATTGTAGAGGTAAGAATGGGACCGTGACTCTGTCACAGATAAGGACAGGGGTCCAGGATAGCTCCTGATGCCTGACGTTACAGAAGATTGCAGACCTCTGAAACGAGCTTTGTTCCTGCTCAGACAAGGCTTCAGATTTGTTTTTTCTTATTTGTGTGGACTTCTCACTTACTACTTTCTATTTTTCTAGATCTTTAGAATTAGTTTTATACTTTCAGAAGTCAATTATCTATATTTTGGTGTGTTTAGATTGGGTTGGGGGTAAAAGGCAAGAGAAAGTCATAAATAGCAAAATTCAAACTAGTGTAATAATTAATCCATAACCTAAATATCTATATTAATAATACAGGTTGGTAAATGTCTCTTACAGTATATTTTTAAATTTAAACTATTTCTCACATAGATTAGATAAAAGTTGAGCTTTCTAATATTATTTTTGGAAAATTAATTCAGTCAATTCAATAATGAGAAAATATATTGAGAAAATTCTACTTTAAGGTCCGATGTATAGTTCTGTAGGCAGTGCATTCTTTTGCTTACAAGTTATGCTTTACCTTTCTTCATTTCAAATATTGAAAAATAAGGTGGCTATTTTTGAAGAAGGAAGAGGAGGAGGAGGAGGGAGCGGGAGGAGGGGAAGAAGAAAAGAAAAAGGAAGAAGAGGAGGAGGAAGGGAAGGAAGAGAAGAAGAGGAGGGAGGGCAGGAGGAGAAAGGAGGAGGAAGAAGACGACAAAATATCCAGGGCTTTAAGAATTAGATAAAAAGTTTTTATTTATTGCAAAACAGAAAGCATTCAACTTCTTGTCTTAAAGAAAAATAACAAAGGAAAAAATCTATTAAACTTTGCTCTTCAAAAACAAAATGAGCGGAAGTTTGTTTTATGACATTTTGAGATCGAATGTATTTCCTAGTGGCTTTTTGGGAGATGGGAGGGAAAGGTTGAGTGGAGAGATTGGCTGTCCATGTGGCACCAGTGTGAGGACACTAATGTGAAGGAACTGTGAAATTCTAGATTCTTTAAAAAAAAAAAAAAAAAAAAAGGCAGAGGGGCACCCGGGTGGCTCAGTGGGTTAAAGCCTTTGCCTTTGGCTCAGGTCATGATCCCAGGGTCCAGGGATCCAGCCCTGCCTCGGGCTCTCTGTTCACCGGGGAGCCTGCTCCCCCGACCCCCACTCCGCCTCCTGCCTACTTGTGATCTCTGTTCGTCAAATAAGTAAATAAAAAATCTTTTTAAAAAAAGGCAGAAAAAATTAAAAGAGCTTTAAAAACAATTTGAATAGGAGATAAATGATATTAGATTTAACGATTATAAAGCTCTAGGTGTTATCTTTTGATAAAAAGATATTTTATGAGAGTATATGTTTGTGTTTTCAAGTGAATGGGAGGTAATCTAAATTTATACTCACTTTCAGCTAATAATCTATAATCAAAGAAGTAGTGCATATCTGTTTACTTAGGATATAATACATGCTTATTTGGTGTCAAGTCCTCATATTAATATTCTCTGAAATTATAACATAAACTCTTATAATTTTAAATTTTCCAAAGGAAAACCAAGATAAAGCACTTTTCAAAGAGTTGTTTTCCTTTTTCTTAAGATAAAGTTGTTGTTCAAGCATGCCATTTAACAATCTTCCCTTTTCTTCCCTCCCGCCTTCCTTCCTCTCCTCTTTTTGCTTTTTTGTGGTGCACTTTACTAAGAAAAAATGATGGTAGCTTTAGATGGAGAAATATTTTATTTATTTGTATTTGAGGCTTTGATGCGCGATTATTAAGTTAGCAATAGAAGTGGAGTGTTTGATTTTCATCTTTGTTTCTAGACATAAGAAAAAAATGGACTGTTCCTATTTGAAAGTTTGAAATTTAGGTTCCTGCAGACTTTCCTTATGTTTGCAAGGTTTTGTAACAACTACCTGAACACAATCTACTGAGAATTCCAAAACAAACTTTATAAAGTCATAAAGTAAGAAAACTGATGCAGCCTCCAATTTCAGCCTTATTCCTGTGGAAGGATATTTGAAAACAGCTCTGGCGTACATTTTTGTGCACCAATCTCTGAAATTGTTAAAAATATAAAAAGAAAAGGAATGAGTACTGAGCAAATGTTTCATAGGGTGATGTACAAAAGCATGAAGATAAGTCAGCTTAGAGCAGTTCACCAATCTTAATTCTTTCAAATATTCCTCCAGATGGAAATGTCCTGTTTCGCGTGGAATAATTGTAAAGACTCAACCTCAGTAAGTATAGAATTTTGAATAAAATATATTTTTCCTTTCTCACCCCCACCATCCAATAGACACGCAAATTGTCCTAAAGAAGAAATGTCATGTTTTGGAAAAATATACTGCTTGTAAGTATGTAAATAAGTATGTAAATATGTAAATATACTGAATTTCTGGAGACATCTGTTATGAATTTCTTGGTGTGCTACATATATATATTTAATTCCATTATTTCTTCTAAAGTATTCCAAATTTGTGATAATGGATGTACATCTAATTTTAAATTTTACTATCCACTCCAGTAAGATATCTTTAGAAACTATAGAAGCTTATGAAAATTGTACTTTCAATGTAATATTGGTTTTAACTGAAGTAAAAAGTTATATTTAAAGGCAGTAGGAAAATTGAAGCCCTTGCCATTATTTCTGCCTTGTATCTCAGGCTATTTCCTATAATAGAAGGGAAAGCTTACTTGTTGATATCTTTTGTCTCCAATAGATATTTTTATCTTTTTGATACTAATTTTGTATCCCCCCAAAGAAGATATTTCTCTGGAGTGCCTTCAAATGTTTCCCATATAGAATGGGAAAACTGTGGTAACTTAAAAGTGCTCTTTGAAAGATATTTCATGAAGCTAATGTTGCTTATTAGAGTTATAGTCTTGTAGTTTGTGTCCATAGAACTGTGAGTTTTTATGGTGGTTCTTAAATCAGTATAAATTAACAAAATTTTATCTCATTCAGGTGACCGTAACAAAACTGAGCAGAGTGTAGAATTGAGAATGTGAAAGAAACTATTTTGAAATGAGCATTTAGGTCAAAAACTCTGTTTCATAAAAATATTTTTGTTACCCTAAAACAACAAAAAGAATCGAGGGGACTCTTTGACAAGTCATTGCCAAAATTATTTTTTCCTTTTTTTGCCAGAAAATAAAGCCGAAAATAGACTGAAGCATAATATATTTTTATAGCTCTCTCTCCAGAATGACAGAATTTTCTGTAAATCTCATTATGTAAAATATGCCTTCCCTGTGGTAAGTATGAGGTATGGGGAGAAACTAATTGGATTGCTCAAATTAGTCAATATGTCTGAAACTATTTTGGGGATGCTTAGCCTTTTGGGTAACTATATGATATAATTTGTTGGTTTCTTGTGAGAGTTCTTCTTTTGAGCAACAAGCAGAAATCCAGCATAAATTAAGAAATGCAATTTTAGGCACAATACAAGGGCCACAGATGACCACAATGTGTATAGTCATCTCAAAGAGAATGATGTACTGAAAAATTAAGAGTGATAGCATGACAGTGGAATGACTGCCAACTTTTTGGACATCGATGTAAGCTGAATTTAATAAAAGCAAAAGAGATGTTAGAGAAGGAAGACTCTAGAATAACTTATTTTGTGATTTTGTTAGGGTTTTTCTAATGGTATCTTCTGGGGCAAATATCTTCTAGCTGAAATGATTGTAATTAAAAAAAAAATAAAATTGCAAAAGGCCAGAATATTTTCCCTTAAGAATATTATACTTGACAGTATCTTAACTACTAGTAAATATGTCCTTGTGTTTCTTTAAATCCTCTGTGGACTAAATATTCCATTTGCTGAGATTGTTTTATAAATATCAGTATTTATGTTGATTTGACTGGTTTTTTTGGATAAACATAGCCCAGTATACACATCTGAACTCCATTGGCTTCTTGACGTTAATTGCCTCAGGAGGTGGCGCCACAGGCCAGGGGATCTGCCATTGATCACATTTTGGGAATTGTCTTTAAATCCAACTCCATTTATTTTTAAACCCCATTTTAAATTCAATTAGCCAACCTATAGTACCTCATTATACTGAAAGAAGACAAATCTCTAGATCCTTTGAGGGTGATTCAGTGTTCAAGAGTCGCTGGAAAACCCATAATGTTACAAAATTTGGTGCATAAAATCCTTGATTATTGATTCACTAGGACTGGAATAAAACAACAAATCTAATTTTCATCTGTGCTGAATGAAATACCTGAGAAGTTCATTTTGGATATTTGTTCTGAACACCCACTTAGAGTCAATACTAAAAAAGGAATGAGATGGGAAAATAATTTCTACTGGACCTCAAGGAGGGAACAGTCTGTGGTTCATAAATTTGGATAGAGGGCATGAAACTCACTCCTAAAGATGTGTTTTGGTAAGAACAGAAGTAGATAAGGAAGAACTTTCATGTAACCAGAGCACATCACTGTCTCTCTGTTCTCTTTCACATAGCTTTTTACTAAACAAAACTTGGGGACAGTTAAAGAATATAGTTTTGAATGGGTCCCCAAATTATTAGTACCCACATGTCTTGTTCAATTGAGATAATATAGAAATGTTTTCAAAAATGAAAATATCATAAATATAAAATCTCTCAAGAGGTTTATTGGGGGGCAGACACATATTTATGACTGCAAGGGTTAAAAACATGATTATCTTTGTTCTTGTCATCCGAAAGAAAATACATGGTCCATTGCACAACAGAGTAAAATTCATAATCTAATAAGATGCTTTATTAAAGAAAAAAAGAATTATTTGTCTGTAATTTAACCCCGTGCATTGCTTTATGTCAGTCATTTGGATTGTGGCCAAGATCTCTGATGAGCATTGACCTGTTTGCACTTTTCCACACCAGAACCTCTGAAGATGATTAGCTTCTGTGACTTAGACTTGAGATTCCAGGCCATCCAGAAGTGTGGGACCCCAAAATGGAAGTTAGCTCTTTCTACACTGTTTTATATAAAGCCAGGAAAACGGGGGATAGATGGGACGTTGACTGTGTCTGTTGAGCAGTTAGATATAGATGTGTGCCAGAGAATTAAGGAGGAGACAACAAGACTGAACACCTACCATGTTCAAGGAAATACATCAGGTCCTCAGATGACGAAGAAACAATCCCTGACCTCAAGGATCTCACTGTCTAGTGGGGAAAATGGACAAAGAAAGAGAAGTATACAAAAAAGTACTTTCATGAAATTATTTGTGTATCTATTTTTCATTTTCAGAGTCCACAGGGAAAATATATATAATATTGACACTAGAATTCCATGTCTTCTTGGAGTACATGTTATTAATCTATTATATTTCCCTCTTCTCCCCTCATTTTAAAGTTCAACAGGCCACATTAAATGCCCTTTAAAAGTCTCAGAGTATATACGGAACATTATGTTGTCCTCTTACACAATTAAAAATAATTCTTAGCTAATAATTATGCAACAAAAAAGTGTTAAAAATAGATGCTGAGTAATTATATAGAAAGAATTTGATAATGAGATGAGGTGCGCAGTAACCATAGAATTCTGTCACTCTCTGATAGCTTGTCTCAAATTTTCCAGTACTTTTGAATCTCTATGTCAATCGAGTATATAATTTAGTATTTTTTAGGAAATAAATATTTGTCTTTATTCTGTGGCTATACGATATGTCTATTTGCACAATAATCATCATCACTTCCATAAGTTATTTAAGGCACTTGTGGGCATGTCTATCGTCTAATGTCTCAAATTCTTTGACATCTAAATATTTCCCCCAGCAAATCTATGCTTTTGAGACCCTCTTGCCGAAGAAATATAACAGTATTTGCATTTGTGTAATTTACTCATCACTAGCATCATGGTTGGAATGTTGCAGCTTCTTAACAGCTTTGAGGAAACACTAAAAACTAGTTTTAAGACAGGAAACTGGGAAGAGTAGTGTATTTAATTGGCATTTCAGAGGGGATATTTAAAAAAGCACTGAAATTGACTTTGATCCAAAATTATCTGATTCATACCTTCATTGATTAAAAATTATAATCTATAAAGCCATTTCATTTTTGTTGTTGTTGTTGTTGTTAAAGATTTTATTTATTTATTTGACAGAGATTACAAGTAGGCAGAGAGGCAGTCAGAGAAGAGAGGAGGAAGCAGGCTCCCTGCTGAGCAGAGAGCCTGATGCGGGGCTCAATCCCAGGACCCTGGGATCATGACCTGAGCCGAAGGCAGAGGCTTTAACCCAATGAGCCACCCAGGTGCCCCTCCATTATTAATAGTTAATAACTAATTGTTAAAAAAATAGTTCCACATATATGTCATTGTGTTAGTTTCCCTCAGTATTAGTCTCCAATAACCATTTATGATTAATACAGGAGAGAGGTTGCTCGTAAATTAAGTCCAAAAGGAATAATTTCAAAAAATCTAGTACAAATAGTATCTATTTGCCGGGACTAAGAGTTTGCTAGCTGGATTAGTGGTGGTGGGGTGGTGTCTTTGCTGGGTTGCAAATATTAAATTCATAAAGATAGCTTAAATCAAATCACAGTTTCCCACTTTAACCTAAGAACATCAAAGATGGCGTACCTCCATGTCTGATAGACTTTCATATATTTCGTGGTACTTGTTGCAAATTTAAGCCATCCAATTTTCTGCAAATCTGTAAATATGAAAGAAAAGCAGCCAAAAATGAAGATTTGAAGATTTGGATGAGAAGGAAACTTTCTTACTATGAAGTCATTTTCTTATTTCTGTCTCTCTCCCAATCTCAAAACATATTTTAACATACAATAATTTCCATGTAACTTTTTTTTTTTTGGAGAAGAAACAGTTGTAAAGAATATAAGTAGTCATATAAAATTGTTAACGTATCTGGATTGTTGCTACACATTTAATAAGGAACATTCTTAAACTGGTACAAACATAAAGTAACCTCTGAATGAGGTCTTTTGTCTTTCCTCTTTCCAATTATGATTTCAGTGATTGAGTTGCCCCATGGTCTTATTGTTCAAGAAACAAACTGATCTATTAATATTTCTTAGAAGAGAAAAACACTGTGACATTTGTCACTAAATATTGGGTTTTGTCTATTTATTTTTTAAAAATGCAGAGTGGAGTAAATATGAATAAAACTCTATAGGAATTATTCTCTTTGTCTAAGAAAGATAAAAAATAGAATAAAACTACACAAATCACAGAATCTTAGGTCTAGACAAGGTCATTTTTCAAATCAATGCATAAGTCCTTTAGACAATTAATCCAAATATGTCATATGGCATGTATTTGATGGATAACTTGTGCTACAGCCTTTCGTTTTCATAAGGTTTATTGAGCAATATGATATTTAACTGTAATGGATTCTTGACTTGTGGCTAGAATCCTTTCTCAGCCTTGAAGTCACCTGTGGAGAGAACATAGCAGCCTGCTGGTTATCTTAGTAAAGTCCTGGCATGTCCAAGTTTGCTTTAGATTTTTCATTCTTAAAGCGTGAATTCTTATAAAGATGATTTTGATGGAGTAAAACAAAATCCATGTAATGCATATCTGAACTTAATATCATAAATTTTTATAAACTTCCATATTTTCCAAATATAGTATTTTACGTAATATTAGAACCATTTTTAAAAAAAACCAACACCCTTTAATAGAGGAGCAGCGTTGTAGTTAAAATTGTCAAGTTCTGCTAATCTCATTAATTTTAAATTTATATGTAGAATAGAAACCTAGAAAGATATCATAGCTACTTTTATGCCATAAATTCTCCTTTTTATTTTCTATTTTTAGTCTATTTATCCTAGTCTATTTATTCTATTTTCTTTTTTAAAGTTTTGTAGACTGTACTTTGTAATACATTTTTTGTTTATTCTTTTTCTTCCCCTTTCCACCACCCTAATCATTCAGACATTTTTTTACTACCAAGTCAGTGCTTACTGAAAGCTCATGGGAAATAAAATAGTATTGTATACATTGGTTCATACAGATTGATGTAAAAAACATTTGGTATCCTGTTGATTGAAAGAACAGATGACCGTATAATTTATGAAGCCAGAAATACCTTCACAATATCTTCCAAAAATAGTAAGGTATTTTAATAACGTAGTTGTGGGGAATGAAGTCAAAAGCTTAGAAGAATTTAAATTGTAGACTGACTTTTGAATGGAACATAGACAATTTGAAAGATGTTATCAATATTCAACAAATATTATTGTAACCATTCATGTGTAATGTAACATAATAAATCACAACTTAATATTTGATTGTTTCACATGAAAATTTTTTTTAAAAAGCATAGCTTCTTAAAAAAATTATGCATCTCTTATCTCCTCCACAAACAAATTTTAAGCAATCTATATAAGCAAGGTCTGACTTTATTCAAAAACTGGTGTTTTTTCTAGGAAAAAAAAATACTTACTTTCTTTAATACATGTGTTACTCTTAATTTTTCACAATTAATTTACTTGTTTAAGAATATCAGCATAATAAGACAAGTTGTGTAACTGACATGGTATGTTTACTGGGGCTTAATTCTCAAATTATTTTAAATATCAGTCAGCATGACTATTCTTTCCAAACTGAGGGATTAATCAACCATTCCTGCCAAGTCTCAGATCAAGGGCACTGTATTTCCTTGCTAAAAATAAGCACGGCCAACTACAGTTTGTGGAAGTCGCAATGGTTATCCTATTGGCATGATGAATCTTCATTAT